CTTCCTGCACTATGTCAGAAACCACGAGAATCTCGCGTGTTTTGTCCCGCGAGAACTTCAGCTCCCGTCCTCTGCACAGGAGACAAGCAGGGGACCAGTGCTGCCTCCAGTTTTATTTTGATCAACTTTTAGAACACAACATGGAAACACACGTGGAGCTCACGTGGTCGTGTTGATGTAACGAATGTGATCTTCAACAGTTCACTGTATAATTCACTATAACTACCGCACAGCCCGTCGTCGACTCAAAGGTTCACTTTTCGAAACTTCATTCAGTGCTTAGAGCGACATCTGCTGCAAGAGTTGAAGTGTAACAGTCAAGCCAGTCGAATTGAATTCCAATCTTGTCACGTGTCTAGTGCTGATTCCATCACATCTTCTATAACTGACTGATCCTCGTTGTATTCTCATGTGTTTCTCATGGTTTATCCAGTGTAGCTCTGTCACACCGTTTGATTGACATCATGGTTTGAGCTTTGTCTGTGTTTTTACACCGGGGACATCAGAACATCAGAACATCAGAACATCGTGTTTATCTAACTATGGTTTTTAATGGTTCTGAACGTTGGGGTTCAGGTTCAGGTGCAGACTAACCTTCTCCACTGGACTTCAGACTCAGGAGAGCGTCGTCTTCCAACAACTAACGACACAGTCAACATTACAAAGGAGTGGTCTGAGGTCAACTCTGTGAATGTCCTGCAGTGACCCACGAGCCAGGACTTGGACTTCATTCAACATCCATGTAAACATCTGGAAAATACCATCAATACTCTGATAAGGTTGTTAAAAAAAGATTTAGATGAGATTGAAAAACTCAGTTTTTCTTATGTATAAAACCCCTTCTACCTACTGATGTAGAGATGTCGGGTTCAGCTGTTGTCATGAAGTATGTCGTTCTGTAATGAGTTCACACTTTCGTGTTTTAAAAAACCAAAACAATCCAAGCTTTTTTTTTTCTTCAAACCCTTTATTGAACTGAGTGAACAGGATCTGATTCTAAATCAGACCAAACTTTTAGGACTCTGTGACTCAGGTGTGACCCGTCAGCCTGAGGTGAGCAGCTGACGACAACAACAAGGTGGATCACTGCTGCTGAACAGCCACGTGATGTGAATAATTACTGATGCATCTCCACAGAATGAGTTCTGGTGAGAAATGACCGGCAACAACAAGTGAAGTGTCAGCACAGACCACTGGGAGGAACAGCAACATCACAGTCCTCCATCATCACATGTTCACATTTATTCAACCTTCACATTCACACCTTTTTACACACATCACAGACTCATGAAAGCTGCCAAAATTAGCAAACTACACCAGTAACTTTTGAAAAGAAAAAGAAGAAGAACATCAGCGCAGCGTTTGTATCCTTTCCACAAATACATTCCAGCACAAAGCAGTCTCTGCAGGTTAAGAAGCTGAAGCATCATCAGGTCAAGTCTCCAGGTATCAACAAGTGGTTTGTGGCATCAGAGTAAACATGACGTACGCGGCGGCGGCGGCGGCGGGTGTGTAGACGAGGGCGTCGGCAGCGTGCTGGACTCTAACTTTTCCGTAAACTGACATCTGCGCTGGTTAGCAACGGTGACAACGAGGTGCTCTCTGACGCGTCTTCTCTCTTGAGGATGAGAAAAGCCTCACGGCTGATTCCAAGTAACTCTCGAAGTCCAGTGTTCTCCAGCTGAAACACAGAACATCTGTTAGGATCACCTAGTTACTAGTCCAACACACACCTAGTTACTAGTCTAACACAGAGCTGTACTGACTAGTTACTAGTCTAACACAGAGCTGTACTGACTAGTTACTAGTCCAACACACACCTAGTTACTAGTCCAACACACACCTAGTTACTAGTCCAACACACACCTAGTTACTAGTCCAACACACACCTAGTTACTAGTCTAACACAGAGCTGTACTGACTAGTTACTAGTCTAACACAGACCTGTACTGACTAGTCAGTAGGCCAACACAGACCTGTACTGACTAGTCAGTAGGCCAACACAGACCTGTACTGACTAGTCAGTAGGCCAACACAGACCTGTACTGACTAGTCAGTAGGCCAACACAGACCTGTACTGACTAGTCAGTAGGCCAACACAGACCTGTACTGACTAGTCAGTAGGCCAACACAGACCTGTACTGACTAGTCAGTAGTCTAACACAGACCTGTACTGACTAGTCAGTAGTCCAACACAGACCTGTACTGATCCAGACTACAGACTGAAGCCTCTGCTCTCACCTCCAGTTGTTTGATCCTCTCCTCATCCTCACATATCCGACCTTCGTCCACCTCTATGGCCTTCCTCATTACAGAAGCCATTTCATTGATCTTGTCAATGTGAGCTTGCATTTCCTACAAAGAAACACAAACACAAGTGAACAGAACATCGAGGAACGACTTTGACAACTACGATGATGCTGATGGTGATGATGATGATGATGATGATGATGATGATGATGATGTGTTAGGCTGATGTCAGTCCATTGATATTACTAACAGTGGTGTGCTGCTCCTTCAGCTGGCTCACTATGGTGGGGTCATCCCTCTTGCTGGCCATCAGGAGCCTGAAGACCTGCTCTCTGTATTTGGTCATGATGAGCTCCAGTGCAGACTGGTGTTCCTCCAATGACGACCTCAGCTCTGCAGCAAGAACAATCAAAGCGGTGCTTTTACTGTGAAAATCACCTTCCAATATCCTACAGGACCCTCTGTCAAGGAACAGCAGTTTGACCGTTGAGCCACATGTTGACATTTAATTTGTAAATAAATCAAACCTGTTGATCATGTTACAATTTAAACAGTATTTGACAGAAATACAGCTGTTCAAAAAGGTAAACCTTTGTTCTCCTGCTGCAGCTCTCTGATCTGACGATTTTCTTGCTGGATTCCAAGGACCAGACTAGATCGAGGTCGGTGTCGTGCCACCTGGTTTAATGCATCGATCTCCTCTTGATACTGAAGACATCAATAAATCAGTTCAACACCGCCTTCTCACAACTCTTCTCACTGTGAGAACATTCCTTCTTCAGCAACACACCTACAGTCCGACCTAATCATCGAGCATCACGTGACATCCCACCTGTTTCATGGCCTCCACTCGCTTGTTGAGGAACGTTGTCTGTTCAATCAGCATCTCAGCAGCATTGTCATGGTTACGAAGCCTCTCCACTAAAGATTTGGCGTCAGCCAAGACTTTGTCCAGGCTGCCGTTCATGCCTGGGGAGACAACAGTCAGTCAACGATCCCCTGACCGCTACATGGCTACGAGCTAATGTGGTTACACCTGCAGAGAGGCTGAAGGAACAGGTAAATGACTACAACTACCAATGCTGTGCTGCCTTCACTGAAACACGTATAAAACAATTATACGTGACATAAATTTAACACGACTTTGACATGACAACATTTGGTAACTTCCGTGTCCTAACTAATCACAACTAATCTCGTACAAATCTCGAGGGATGTTTGTCTAACAGATTGACAGAAATATTTAAATAAACAGGTATAAATATCAAAGTTGTCACTCCATTACCTGGGGAACTTAAAGTGCAAGACATTGAAATTTTGTTGTCAGTTGCTTCCGGTTGATGTTTGTTAGCTATCGTTAGCTACATGCTAGTAACAGTCTTCAGAATGGTTGAAATAGCCCATAGACTTTTGAAACACTGTGGGAGATTATCAGGTTACCTCCGTGAGGGTTCTTACTTTTCTCGTTGATCATAAAAGTTACCCTGAACCTGAAGTTACTACAACAAATATCAGTTATCCTGTGTAGCAAACACTGCTCCCATAATTTCGAGTCAAATTCGGCGAGAGTTGTTGCTGTTAACGAACAATATCGCGAGAAGAAACAGAAGAATGATCGCGAGAGCACAGCGAGGTTGGAGTAGAGCTCAGAAAAGATGGCCGACAGGTTAACGCAGCTCCAGGACGCTGTCAATTCGGTACGTTTTTTTACGTTGTCTTTTTAAGGAATGCTGAAAGTAATTATAAGAAACTGAGACAAAGGGCGTGGTTCAACTGTGGGTTCCGGTCCGTCTATAACAAAAACAGTTGATATGTCAGGACTAAACAGTGCTACGGTAGTTAGCACTGCCTTACATCAAACAGAACGAGCCCCAGCTTTAACTGCTGGTCTATGGTTTGAGACCTACGTGATCTCCCCTGGACTGGTGCTTCATAACGATGTACAATAAAGTAATTTAGACTCAAATTATCACTGCGAGTGGGTTGAACGTTTTGGTTCCGGTCTGTGATGAAGCGGTGGAAAACTGACGGATGGGTTCTTGAATGTAAATAAAATGGATGGATGAATGAATGGATGGGTGGATGGACGGACGGACGTAGCTTCATGTCTGGTAACCAGCCAAATATTAGTAACACTTCTATGGCCAAACACTGGTCAGTATTTTGTTGGACTCTATAGTTTATCCAAAAACCATAGGGACATAGTGAGAAACGTTTCAGGTCCGCACCAGAAACGTTGATTTTGTTTTCCCCCCCATGTCCCTTTACGGGCTACGTAAACAAAGTTTATATACAGTATATGTGGTAGTTTACATGTTTCGACTATTCACTTTTAACTGTACCTTTAATACATTTTTTAATACTTGTAATAATTAGCTTCTTCACTGTTGACTTACGTCCAAGACAGGAGTTCCTGCTGCTACAGGTGTAAATGACTGAGGTTTTTAAACAACCATCGCTGTAGTGAATGTATACCACACTGTTTCATTACCTACGACTGACTCTGTGTACTCTGTGTACTCTGTGTACTCTGTGTACTCTGTGTACTGTAACTACTGCGTACTGAAGGAGGTTTCCAGCAACACTTTTGTTTCGTGTGATTAGCTTGCAGATCAGTTGTGCAATGCTATCGGAGTTCTGCAACAGTGTGCGCCGCCTGCTTCCTTCAGTAACATCCAGACGTCTATCAACAAGGACCAGCCTGCGAACCCAACTGAAGGTCACCTGACTCACAACACTTGTTTTAGATGTTAAGATTTGGATTAGGATTCCCAAGAGGGAAGTTAAAGGTGTTCATACAGAATGTGTAACATTATATGTTTTCATTATGCATACACATATATTTGTCCTCTCTGTCCAGAATATGCCCAGCTGTTCGCAGCCCTGATCGCCAGAACAGCCAAAGATGTGGACGTCCTCATCGACTCTTTGCCCAGTGAAGAGTCCACAGCAGCAGTGCAGGTTGGCCTTCACTTTTTCAAGTTTGTTCTTTTATAACTGCAAGATATTTAGCAGCACCTCCTGTATGTACAAATATCAACAAAAAGTTTACCTTAACGCTGCATTTCTCACTTTGGCCAGCAGAGGGAGCCACATGTTTTTTTCGACAGTTCTTCATCTAAAAGTACCAAGCACTTTGTTTCCAAATAAACACACTTGTGACTGTTCTCAAGCTCACAACACTATTTTTTAAAATGTTGTCCTATTTCAGGTCTTAAGCCTGAAGACACACACACACACACACACACATATATATATATATATATATCCTTTGTTCATAAAAATGTATGATTAATGAAACTCAACTGTGTTTCCCAAAAGACTAGACAAAGTGGATCTAAACTGTGCAAAGTACAGGAAAATAAAGGAATAAAACAAGTATGTTGAGAAATGCTGTGTTCAAATTTTAAAGTAATAATTTCTAATATAACGAGTAGTGAAGTCATTATTAAAAGAGATGGTTTTGTCCCTAATTGTACCTCTGTCTGAGTTGATCTGAACCACTGTGTCATTAGGCGGCCAGTCTACGGCAGCTGGAGGAGGAGAACCACGAGGCAGCGGCCCGGCTGGAGGAGGTGGTCTACCGCGGGGACATGCTGCTGGAGAAGATCCAGAGCGCCCTGGCTGACATAGCACAGTCACAGCTACGCACCCGCAACGGAGCCCTGAGTCAGCCGTCACCAGCTGAGACCTGACCCCTGACCCCTGACCTTGGACTGTCTGTTCACGAACTGCACATCTGAAACATCTGTCCTGAACGGGTTCAAGAGTTCGATATACGATGGAGTGAAAGTGGTGTGAATGAAGGTTGATTGATGATCTGGTGAGTTTGAGTTTGAAACATCAAACTGGAGAAGTTTGATGTCTGCAATTTATTTTCCTTTTTATTTTTTTTTTACATCATTTAACTTTCAAAACGTGTTTGGCTTGAAATAAACATTGTGTACTTTTATGTTAGATCTTTTTCTGTGATTAAAAGTGAACATTTTCATTTTATTTAAATATAAGGGTCATCTGGTGTGTCAGTGTTTAGCCTTCCCACCCCGGCCTGTAGGTGGTGCAAGCTAAGGTATGGTGTTTAAAGCCTTGTGTCATGATAAATATCATGGTAAATAGTTTTATTTATATCTAACTTTCTCACCCAAATCAACAGAAAGGGAAGACAACAAGGCTGGTTACTGACTGTTTATTCACACCAGTTTAGCAGCATGCTAGCAGCTACTGTGTTAGCAGTGTGTTAGCACATACCCTGCCAGTCCATCTTCACCAATGTTGGTCCAAGCTAACCCTGCTAGCACTTCAACACTTCTTTGGACTTGGCGGATCTGACTCTTGTAGGCTGCAATACTACCACCTACTGGCTGTATTATAGGTAAGAGCTGGATGTTCACGGGACCAAACACTTTCTGTGAGACTTTAAAATTGACTCAGAGATTGAGTTTAAATGAGTTATTTTTTAATGTCGATCTATCCCGAGCTTTAAAGAAGCCCAAGTCTGTGTTGACCTTGAATGTGAACTTCAGATGGAAATCTCTGCAGAGTCCGAGTGTTTCTGAGGGAAGTGCTGCCAGTCAGAGAGTTTATAAAGCACGTCTAAATATAGCTGCTGTGTCACAGCTCAGTGGGCGCCGTTGATGTGAGAAATGTGAGAAACATAAAAACAGCCTTGTCTGGGAGTCACCACACCCACCACTCTGTATGTTGACATGGAGACATGGAGACTGGAACAGGCAAAGCATTCAACCTGTCCAAAAAAAGACAACGTCCCACCGTCATTTAACAGAGTGACGTCAGACGTGCTGCAGTGATTGGCTGTGGCAGGAGTTTAGTGATAAATAATAACTTATATCTGTTGTACAGAACATTTAATTCACACAGCAGGAAAATCCATCCCCACAGTCAGAGGCAAACAGGATGTTGATGATCTTCCGTGACGTCACAGGGCTGAACGTTAATAATGTCAAATGTGCGGTCACTCTCATGCAAAATCTTAAGTGGATTTCAGTTTAACTTATTGAATCGGACACGTGACGAAAATCAATAACGTGGACTTAAAATAATCTCTATTTTATCAAATAAGTTTGTTTTTAATAAGCGATCGCGTCAAAGTACTCGATAAAACACAACTCAGACAGAATATCCCTTTATAACGGCAACGCTGCCTCGATGTACCTGCTCCGAAAACGTCTTCTTTGTGATTGGCCAATACACACGTCCATCATGTCTGTACAAACGTGATTGGCCAGTGGGGCCTATTCCTCGTCGGTGATTGGTGGCATTCACGTCAGTCACTCTGCTCCGGTCGATGTGTTTGTCAGAAGGTGTGATGAGACACCGGTCCCAGGAAGTAGCGCTTTATTCCATGTTTATAAGGATAAGGATTCGAACCAGCGTTCGTTTCTGGGCTCAGAACCGACAAGTGAAGGAGTTTAAATACATATGGATGAATGTAAATCGACCCAGTTCGGTCCGCGGCATCACTGTGATGATTCCTGCTCTGTTTACAGTTTAGCCTGACGGTGTTGTGAGGGGACACAGGAACCGGAGCGTGAAGCTCCCACACGCATTTTCTTTTTTGGCGGAAAATCACGAAAAACACATTTGAACATTTTTCACCTGTGTCGGCGGCAGCGAATATTCGACTCTGGAGCAGGACACGGAGGTAAGAACCACATGTTTATCACCGCACGGTCCTGGCCGCTGTGCCGCCGCGGATTTATTTGTTATTGCTGCCACGGAACCTGCCGTAGATATTATTAACAGGAGGCGGGGAGCTAGCATAGACTGGACGGCGTCGATTTGACTCAGCACACGGAGAAGACGATACTGAAAGAACAAGGACAGGGATTGGTACGACATTGGAGGAGGAAGGGGGTCGTCGACCACCCCCAGACTGATGGAGCAGGGACCCCGTGTTATATATATATATATACTGTATATAGACTGTATATAGACTGTATATGGACTGTGTATAGACTGTGTATATACAGTATATGTATGTGTATAGACTGTGTATAGACTGTATATAGACTGTGTATATACAGTATATGTAGTAAAAGATGGTCTTTGTGTCCACTGGGCCCAGAGTTTTGTATAAACCGTCGTTGTTATTCATTCAGTCCTAACTTTTAAAACTAAAAACCTGTGTATTCATGGTTTGAGTATTTAAACTTGTGACGGAGTACACTGAGTACACTGAGTACACTGAGTACTGTGGTTGTTAGACTGTCAGTAGTGAACATGATACCTGTCAACAGACCACCTGTCTGTAGACTACACCACTGAAACTTAGCTGCTCAAATAATGTTCGTGTTTTTAAAACTTGTACAAAAACGTCCCCTGTGCAGTATCCCATGTACCCCACGGAGGTCGTGAACCCACGGTTGAGGACCCCTGGTGGACACACCAGGACATACAGTAACATAACATGAAAACCATGGAGTCGGCTGCAATAACAACGCTGGCCAGCAGGGGCATTCCCAGATTTACATACATATATAAGTGTTGTTGATAATTGTCAGCAGTTCAACTAGTTTAGTCATTAAAAAAAAATCTAAATATGATGAACTTTTTTGATGTAACAGTGACTTGGGACCTCCCTGCACTACCTTTACAGGCCACTAGGGGACCACGGAAGACGACCTCTATTACAGAGGGCAGGTGTTTTTAAAACGAGTTTCTTCTTCCTTTCCAGGATAGCATGGCCATGACGGGGGGGACTGCAGCTGCCCTGCCCATGAGCAACCACACCAGAGAGAGGGTGACTGTAGCCAAGCTGACGCTGGAGAACTTCTACAGCACCCTGCTGACCCAGCACGAGGAGCGGGAGATGAGGTCAGAGCTCTGCTCCTGGTCTGTCACTCTTCTCCATGGACTGCAGTACTGTTCTGTATATACTGCAGTACTGCGCTCCATATACTGCAGTACTGTTCTGTATATACTGCAGTACTGCTCTCCATATACTGCAGTACTGCTCTCCATATACTGCAGTACTACTCTCTTTCTTTTTCCTGCTGCAGACAGAAGAAGTTGGAGAAGGTGATGGATGAAGAGGGATTACCAGATGAAGAGGTTCAAACGTCTCCGTCTCATTGGCTGTTGTTGTTGTTGTTGTCAGTGACATCATCTCCTTCATCGTTAACTGTGCGTTTGCAGAAAGTGATGCGGCGATCGCAGCACGCCCGTAAGGAGACGGAGTTCCTGCGACTGAAGAGGACCCGACTGGGCCTGGACGACTTTGAGTCCCTGAAGGTCATTGGACGAGGGGCTTTCGGAGAGGTACTGTAAAAAGACGGAGGCCGTCAGGTGGGGGCGCCGCAGAGCTGGAGAAGACACGTTTGACAGTGTGTGGTCTCCCTCAGGTCCGTTTGGTCCAAAAGAAGGACACAGGCCACATCTATGCCATGAAGATCCTGAGGAAGGCAGACATGTTGGAGAAGGAGCAGGTCAGGGGTCAGGGGTCAGGGGGACTGGGACAGTTCCTGGATGTTGGACCGTCACGGTGATGTTCTCATCAGTCTCCTCTCTCTCTCTGTGTCTCCAGGTGGCTCACATCAGGGCAGAGAGGGACATCCTGGTGGAGGCCGACGGAGCCTGGGTGGTGAAGATGTTCTACAGCTTCCAGGACAAGAGGAACCTGTACCTGATCATGGAGTTCCTGCCTGGAGGTCAGAACTTTGACTCCGCAGTGATGAACCTGAGAACAGTTCCTGTTGTGATCTGAAGTACCGATGTGTGTGTGCCTCCCCCCCCCAGGGGACATGATGACTCTGCTGATGAAGAAGGACACTCTGTCCGAGGAGGCCACTCAGTTCTACATCGCTGAGACGGTTCTGGCCATCGACTCCATCCATCAGCTGGGCTTCATCCACAGAGACATCAAACCTGACAACCTGCTGCTGGACTCCAGGGTACCACACACACACACACACACACGCACACACACTGCTGCGTCAGCCCAGCGTCCTGGTCCTGACGTGTCCTTGTCCTCAGGGACATGTGAAGCTGTCGGACTTTGGACTGTGTACAGGACTGAAGAAGGCCCACCGCACCGAGTTCTACAGGAACCTGACCCACAACCCCCCCAGTGATTTCTGTGAGTCCTGATGTGCGGATCACAGTACTACTGTGTACTGAATACTTGCTACTACAGTTAATATTTGTTGAAAACCTGGATTTTTTTGGCAGCTTTTCGTACTACAGTTAATATTAATATTAGAAAAACCTGGATTTTTTTGGCAGCTTTTCAGAACATGAACTCCAAGAGGAAGGCAGAGACGTGGAAGAAGAACCGTAGACAACTGGTGAGTCTGTGAGGAGACCAGGACCAGGACCTGGACCAGGAACTGGACCTGGACCAGGACCAGGACCTGGACCTGGACCAGGACCAGGACCAGGACCTGGACCAGGAACTGGACCTGGACCAGGACCAGGACCTGGACCTGGACCTGGACCAGGGCCTGGACCTGGACCAGGACCTGGACCTGGACCAGGACCTGGACCAGGAACTGGACCTGGACCAGGACCAGGACCTGGACCTGGACCAGGACCAGGACCAGGACCAGGACCAGGACCTGGACCAGGAACTGGACCTGGACCAGGACCAGGACCTGGACCTGGACCTGGACCAGGGCCTGGACCTGGACCAGGACCTGGACCAGGACCTGGACCTGGTGACTGACAACTACAGCTGGTTGAACAGCCACTGTTGTTGTTGTTGTTGCTGTTGTTGTTGTTGTTGTTGTCGTTGTAGCTCAGCTGTTCAGTCAACACTGTGGTTAGTTTAACATAAGTGCATTCTGATTATGGGCCACAGGGGGGCGGAGTCAGGGTCTGAACCTTCTCTGGTCTGGTCTTCTCCTGGTTTCTGATAATAATTGATTAATTGTGCGGTGGCTGTTGAACGGTGGCCAGTTGACCTTTGTGTGACCCCCCCCCCCCCCCC